CAGAAACTCCTTTTGCAAATGTAATTTTTAAGACTCTTCAGGTGAAGAAATTGTTTAAGTGTTAACCTGCTCTTAAAAATTTTTATAAAACTTTGACTCTGCTATCTTACTGGTTAAAGTTTAATTTCTTGCCATCTTGCGGGTTAATGTTTAATCTGTTGTTTAATAGTCCTGTATTTTTGGAGCGCTTGATAGTGGCTAGACACTACTTTCACCTGAAACCAAAACATACGTATTTTATCTTTATACTAAACTTTGTTCAAAAAGTTTGTCTAAAACTTTCAAATTATTTGGTTTTAAAGTGATTAGAAACTTGTTAAAAGTATACTTCCGGAAACCTTGCTTTTTTTTAAAGATTTTCTTTGAGTATATATGTAAAAATTATTTAAGCAAAAATACTCATCTAAGGGGATAATTCTTTATTGGAAATAACTCAAGATGCAATTTTTTTGGCTACTTACATCTTTTGCTGCTAAAGAAATTCCTCGATCTTTATTTGAGAGTATTGGTGGGGTAGACCTTTTCCTAAAGCGCAGAGGCATATGCTGCAACTTACATTTAGTTCTTTCTCGATGGCGGTTTGCTCTTCAAGAGAATATTTTCTTGCAGCTTTGAGCAACTAGTTTAGTACATTAAGACATCATGCCTCTTGTTTTAGGTCTCACTTGTATTGAATTGCAATTAAACAAAGAAGAGTGTATAACTTCTTTCTCCTCTTGTTTCTTGCGCAAAATTGTTCTACACAGTTCGCAGAGTCCTTGTGAGAATCACTGGTATTGATCTTTGTCTCGTACAGTTGGCATATTCGATCTGCTTGAAAAGCAGTAAGCTGTCTTAAACATTTTTTCAGACAGAGTCAAAGGACACAAATTTTCAACTTTCATTGTGAATCTTTGCTTGATTTGGCATTGTGTCTATTCACTAAATCCAACTTTACTAAACCAAACTAACCATTTTACAAAATTTAACCTGAATTTATATTGGATAACAACCCATTAACATACCTACAAATATTAAATTAACTACAAACAATTAAATTGATTACAAAATATAAATAAATTACAAAAAATTAAAATCAATAGGCCGGGCGAATAAAAATGAGCAATTTCTTTTACTCAATATTTGGTCAACTTTACGTGAGTAAAAACTTTAGAAGTTTTGCTCAAATTTTTATTCACGTAAAGTTAAGCAATTTACTTAGTAGTTGTTCAGATTTACGCGAATAAAAACTTAACCAAAATTCGTTAAGTTTTTATTCACGTAAAGCTGGAAAAGAAGCAATTGCTCATTTTTATTCACCCGGCCTAATGAAAATGCTAGTTATAGCAATAAAATAAAAATTGTTAGTTACATAGTATTAACATCTATGCTATCCGTGAGCAAATTTGATGATTTATTGGCTTTGAAACAAAAACAAAAGTTGATTATAGAATATAAAATTAGTATTAGCTCTGAATATATCAGCCCTGTCATTTTTTAAAAAAATAATACATCATTATATGTGTTGCATCATATGTGAAAACTGGTATATCGTTATATGAGCTGCAAACCATTTTATGGAGAATTTTAATCAAATACATGAAATTTTCAGAATTCGGAAATGGCTGAAAAAGAACCTTAAAGACTCATCTTTTATAACAATAATATATATATATATATATATATATATATATATATATATATATATATATATATATATATATATATATATCAACAAAAAAAGTAGGGTTAAAAAAATTTTTTAGCAAAATTGTGTAGAGCCACTAGGCTGACCACAGCTGTTGAAGGTGCAAATTATTTGTTGGGTTACACAAACCAGCTACTTTAATTAAAAAAGTTTGGAACCTTAGGAAAAATATAATTATGATTTTATTTGTAGTGGCAGACAGTTGAATTGTGACAAAGCATTAGCTTTTTCACATAATCTATGTAAAATCAAAAAAGTTATGTTACCCTTCAGGTAAACTTATCAGAATTACACAAACGCGTACTGAAATTAATTTTCAAAATAAAGTTACTGAATGCCTAATTGAAATCAAATATAAATCTCTATAAAATGTCTCTTTTAAAAATCATGTTTTTTTTAAAAAAAACATTATTTTTGGCTTGTCTACTTTGAATGCGCAGATTTGTTTTTTGAATGCGTGTATCTTTTAAATATAAAAAAGTGGCAATTAGAAGTAATGTATATAAGTCAAATATCCAGTAACGTTCAAAAGGTACCAAGCAAAGTTTTAAAAAATATTTAAGGTTTATTGTAAGCAAACCAAAAAAAAAAGCCTGGAAATTATAATACATACTTCAGTTCGGAAAATTTTCAGAAAAGTCTCGAGAAGCCCGCTAAATAAAGATTTTCGTCGATTTCTCCAGCATATTTTAAAAGTCAGAAATTTTGACTTTAATGAACCCACCTGTAGTAACACCACACCAGGATACAAAAAACAAATTCTGCGTGACAGTTAAACTTACATAGGATTCAATTCGTCGAATAGAAAATATCACAACCACTAGTACTCCCCTAGTCATTATAGGCTAATAAATAAGTACTCCAGTTAGTAAATAAGTACACCCAACGAGAATAATTATTCCTATACTTCTTAAGGACGTATCTTGACATTTTCTGATGACAATCAATTTACTTTTTTATAATTTTATTTAAATTAACATTTAAAACCTAGCACAAATACAGTAACTGTATTTATTATGTACATATTAAATAAGTTGTAGTAAATTGAATTAAGGATAACAATTTAAATTTTATTTATCAAACTTGTAGCAAACAATTAATAATTTTAGGATATCAATATATTATACTTTTGTTATACATATAATGTAACGACATGTTATTTTTATGGCAACAGAGAAGTATATTAAAGAAAGAATGTATCCTTAAAAAATTTTGGTTGATAAAGATAAAAAAAAACTAACTTCCGCAAAGCTTGCAAGAATTTTAGTGTTTTATGTAGACAATTAATGTACCGTGAAAAGTTAGTAATCGTTTGTAAAGATTAGCAGCAAAAGATAATAACTGACATTCATTCTGGTCTTAGTGATGATTATAAAACAAAAGCAATGGTCTCACATCGTGGAAGGCACACAACATATTAAAAAATTTCTAATAGGTTCTACTGGCACAATATAAAATTTGATCTTAAAGATTACATTCGAAAATGAAAACAATGTCAAAAACGTAGTAAATAAAATAAATTTTCAACAGAGTTTACTCTAAACCAGTTAAAAGTAAAGCTATGGAACAAATTGGTATTGATATCTGCAACTTGCCAAAAGTTGATGGTTTTAAAACATTTAGTTGTCTGTATTGACTATTATACAGTACTCTTCTTATATAAAGTAATCTGTCGACATGGGTGCATTAAAATTCAAACTAATTATCAAAGTAAAAATAAATAAAAGATTTGCTTAGAGTTTCTCTTCCTGCACAAAAACAAACAGACGATTACAGTTGAGGACTATTTACTGTTGTCTTTACAGCTGAAATAATAGCAGGTAAACCACCACACAAGACTAACTTTGTTGTATAAAAAAAGCGTTTTTTTTAATAACTTTGCTGTATTAAAAAAAAACTCTCAGTATCTTTTACCCTTTCCTAAAAATAAAATTTCTTAAAGGTCCTATTCTACATTCAATTTATCATTAACTTTAGTCAATTAGTTGAGCATTCCTTATATAAAGCATCAAAAAAAGTAACCATGAAAAACTTTTTATATGTTACATATTGATTTGTGCACCTAGACACAATTTTCGTTTTGTTTTTATACTTAAAGATGAAGAAATTGTATTATATTGCAAAGAAAGCATTTTTGTTTTTTTTATTGTTTTTTAATAGTTTCTTTTAATGTCTTATTCTTTAATAGTTTTTCTTTAATGTCTAGTTACCTATTTGAAAATTAACAATAAGTCACTAATTTGTCACAAACAATAACCAACCAATTTGAAATAAACAGCATTTTCCAATTTTTATTAAACTATTTTTTACTTATAAAAGATTTTGCTATATATAAGTATTTAATAAAAACTGAAATTCAAAAAATTCGAAGGCACGTGTTTAATTGTTATTTCCAGGTTATTTTGATGAGATGTTGAATAGTTCTCATTTTATTTTAATAGACTTCCAAATAAGAATGAAACCTCTGCTTTTCTTAGAAAAAAAATAGCCAAAACGGTTTCTAAATGATTTAAAAACTCGCAAGGTTATTTCAAAGAATTTTACAGTCTTTGAAGTTTTGTAAAGATCCTTTGTCAGTCCTTCATAGGCATTAACATTAGAAGCTTTAAAAGGTTTTCTGAAAAATATTTCGGATTTTCTAAAGAAGTTTACTTTCAGGTTCTTCCAAAGAACCCTTCCAAACAATTCTTTGAAGAACCTCTACGGTTGCTACACCATATGCAACGTTAAGAACTCTCCGAAGTTCTTCAAAGTAAAAATGGATTGTTCGGCATCATCATAATACATCTCAAATATTTCGATTCAGTTTATAAATTAATAATCTTTCAAAGAATTTTTTGAAAATATTTTAATAAACAAATTTTATTTAAAAAAGGGTTAAAAAATGTTAATATTATTGCTGCATTTAAATGCTTTACAGTTATAGATGTTGTAAAACCTTTTTTGTTTGTATCAAATAACGTAACGCTTCAGATTGAATTATTTAAATCAAAAATTGTAAACAACAATACGCTTTAACGCTGCTTTAAATATAAAAAAAATATTAAAGGAGTACTTATTTTCTAGAGGAGTATTTATTTCCAAGGAAATAAGTATTCCCGGAGCATTTATTTCTTTGGAAACAAAATACTCCAGGACTACTTATTTCTTAGGAAAAAAAAATACTCCGGGAGTATTTATTGGCGGGAGTACTTTTAGGCTGTTATACTGGTCAGTAAGCAAAGATAAGTTTGATTGCTACGCCTAGACTTATAGCTTATACAACAGTTTATAAGGAAAAGTTTCCGCTTTAAAGCGCATGCTCATCAGTATTATAACAACAGTAATTTTATTTCCATTTAATTTTTTTTTTCAGCAGCAAAATAATATGGCTAAAAATATTGAACATTTTATAATAGCCAGTCTGCTGTCATTTTTATTTTTTTCAAATAGAAAAGTTTTCTGGGAACTTTTGTATTCAAAGGAAGACAAAGCTATAAACATTATCGAAAATAAAATTGGAAGTTCAGTAGCTCATTTTTCAAATGTTGGTGTTGGGTAAATATTTTTTGAAAAAATTATTTCCTAAAAAATTAGGACTAAATTCTTTTTAAACAGAAGCTTTTTTAAAAACCATAAGTCTTTCATTTTATGATGAATTGATTAAAATTAAAATAAATTTTTATGAAAACTTTTTGAAACCGTTAAAAAAGGAATGAATGAGTTTTAGATTAAATTGCAATTTGCTTTAAAAATGACTTAGCAACTTTGTATTGTATAATAAATGTCTAAACTCAAAAAAATTGAGTATATTATTTTTATATTCTATTTTTACTCATGGTTTCTATTTTATATAATTCAATTTTGCTCTCATTTGCAAATCAACAGTGGTTTTGATACATTTTTTTAAAAGTAAAACTGTTTTGACAAAAGTATATTTAGAAATTTATGTAATTGTATCAGGTTTTATTATTCTTCAAAACTTTTCCATTCAATACATCAAACTTTGATTTAAACTTAAAATTTTTTTTTTTCAATCACCTTTATTATTGTCTCGAACCTCTTTAATGTTTTTATTGTGGAGTAATTGTTTCAATTTTTTTTCAAGTTGGTATTTGGGTCATTTTATGTCAAATCAGCAGCATCCAATGGATTTACATATATTTTACATATGTAAATCTATTGTTTTCACATATGTTAAATAAGGGTTAAAAATGTTTAAAACGTTGAAAGTTTGAGTATCTAACTCTAAAGTTTTTAAGCTATTCAGGTTTTAATTTTGCTGATTTTTTGCAAAATTAGCATTTATTTTGAATTCCAAAGAACTGATGTTTAAGGAAAAAACTAGACGAACAAGAATTTTTGCAGCACTTAGGAACAGTCACAGTAAAATGATGAGACTTAATTGAATGACGAGTAACACAAGAATAAATTTTAGTAGATCGCACAAGAGGCACTAGTTCTTTAGAGCAGCGCCCATTATAGTAGAAAAAAGAAAAAAAAAACTTTTAGCATTTGTATAATTCTGTTAGATTGTATAGTGCATGTTAAAATTGTTTCAAGGTCTAGTGATACCCGGGGAAAAGGCTGGTAAGCGTATGTATTCTCTCTACCTGACTTTTTTTTTCAAGAAAAGTTTTTGATTTTTTAAATTTAATTTGTAAAAATTTTAATTATATTTATGAGAAACCTGATCACACTAGTTAAAACTAGATGAATAAAAGTTTTTAAAGCATGAAGGTACATATACAGCAAAGGGATGCGACTTTGCTGAATGACCGCAATGAGTCACACAAGTTTGATCTTCGGTTGATGAAACAAGAGATGATAGATTTTTAACTTTTAAACAACAACTATATAGCATTTGGAAAAAAGATGCAACCTAATAGTAGTGGGGCTTAGTGCTATTTACTATAACTACATTTACTATAAGTTTTATACCTTTTCTAAAGAGAAAAGTTTTTTATCAGAAAAACTAACCCAAGTATGACAACAGTATTTCATACAAGGGAAAATAAAAAATAACATCAAAAATAGTGCAGTCTTGAAGAAAGCAGAATGATATAGAACAAATTATGTGCTAAGCGGAAGCACACAAAAGAATGCTCAAAGGGTTTTAACTTGATTTCATGACAAATAGGTAAATTGATACCTAAGTAAATGACCAGACCAAGCATGTGATTATTGGAGTCTTTACAAAGTAATAATAGTCATAATAGAAATCAACTGAGATCGGAATATGAAACAGTTGAATTCAAATTGTTTTCACAAAGAATAAGTCTGATAAGTTTTACAAAAGCTAAGATTCAACTAATGAAAAGTTACATATAAGACCACGAACTTATAAGACCACGAACTTATAAGGCCACAAACAATTGTAGTCATGAACAATTGCAAAGAGTCAATTAGGTGGCAGTAATGGTTTTTTATGTTTAACATTTTTAGGGACTTAAGTCATATTTTAAATTATTAAAAAACTTGACTTGATCGTAGTTGTGCATTAGGGTGTTTTAAATTTTACACATTATTTAAAATGCAGACTCCACAACCCTAAATGTGTTCTATATAATAACATAATACTGGAGTTTAAAAATCTTCAAAAAAAAAATATTTCTAAGGGTAGCAATAGTCTCTAAAACAACAGACAGGCCTCTAATATTATCAATAAAAAAAGTTCCTCGAAAGTATATTATGTTGGGTAACAAAGGAAAAAAATTTAATAAAAATTTCAAAAATAATAATCATTTTAAAAATTTTATGGTTTAAAACTATCATATTTTACCAAAAAAATTAAAAGTACATATTTTTAAAGGTTTTTTTTTAATAAACTTTTTTTATTTGTGTTTTTATAAATTGTTTATTATTTTTAAAATTTTTATAAAATTTCACTTCTTTTGAGACCCAACATGATATACTTTTGAAGAACTTTTTTTCTTGATAATATTAGGGGCCTGTCTGATGTTTTAGAGACTATTGCTACCCCTAAAAAAAATTTTTTTCGTAGATTTTATTAACTCCAGTATTATGTTATTATATAGAATACATTTAGGGTCTACATTTAAAATAATGTGTAAAATTTGGACCACCCTAATGTGCACAATACCCTAAATAATGATCTATGCAGTTGCTTCAGTCATGTTAATTAACCCAAATTGCCAAGATTTCTTATGTGGTCTCAAAAAGATTCGTTGTTTTTGATGATAGACACCAGCATGTCTGGCATGCTGGTGTCTTTCATCAAAATGTAATTTTAATTTTCAAATATTGTTTCTTACCTACATTAATAACATTCCAAACAAATTTAACACTAAATCATTTATGTTATAGTTATATAATTACTATACCATTTAAACAGGCAATCATAAGTATGAATTCTACACTATAGAAATTTTATTAAAATTGCCAATTTAAAATTTAACTCAAGCTAGATAATCTTAAGTTTTTTTAAGCTTGGTATGCTTAAGGTTTGCAGTTGTTGTTATTGTTAATGATGATTTTTTTTTAGTGTAAATGCCAACATTGACCTAATTGTGTCAGCCTTGCAAGTATTTTCAAATCTTCAGTTAGAAAGCCATTTGGTTTCTAAAGATCATCCTTCAATATCAACATTAGAAGAGTTGGAAGAATGTTTTTATTTTTATTTTAAAAAATGTGCAGCTGCTGAGCGTGTGGTTACATCAAAGTCTTTGTTTGATCAAATTATTCAAGCAGCGAAAAAAACCCCAAATGCTCAGGTATTTAAAAGTTTATTTTGATCAGCTATTTTCACATTTTGTTCTCATTTATATATTGAGAAATTTATAAATTGGAAACATATAAATATAATAAACATATAAATATAATGGAAACGTATAAATATAATAAACATAAATATATATTACTTGAAACAGTTGGTAGGATGACATTTTCTTCATTGGTAATATTGGTACCAATGATCCACTGTCCGGGACATGATCTTTTCCTCCTATTTATACTTCAAATTAAATGTAATCATTATTTTGTTTTTGTTTTTAATAAGATTTTTTTCTATACAAATTATAAATTTCTTTTTTTACATAATAATAACCATAAATCCTATTGTTTATATATTGTTGATATAAATAGACTGTTTTGGTACCAAGTATAAATTCTTTAAAAGTATATCAACTTGGATTTTTAATTTTTATATACTTTGAAAATAAATTTACTTCAACTAACATAAGGTTATATTTACCTCTAAGTTTTTTTTTTAATTTTATTACTGAAGATAAATTAATCCTGAAGATAAACTAATCAGCTTCATAAATAGTTTAATGTTTTTGTGAGTTTTTTTTTGCTTTTGAAAACTCTAGTTTCCACTCTTTTTTGTGGTTTAAGAATATTATGAATTATTCCAACATGCTCAGTTATTCTAAATCTCTTTATATGACTTTCTACTGTTCTTAAGTGATTGATTTTTTAAGACTTTCTACTTATATCTATTTTTACATATACTATTCTAAGTGTTGTATAAATTTTTTTTATTATACAAATTAATATGACCACATCATAATTTTGAATATTAATATTACTTTACAGGTTTAGTAAAAATTAACATCTGCAACTTGAACCATTTTTACTTTAATTGTAGATAATTGTGTGAAATATTAACAATATAAATTATAAGTAAACTGTATATAATTAACTGAACATGCGTAAAAAAACTTAATAAATTGACCGTATTTCAAAATATGATATTATTAAAAGAATGATATGATATAAAAGTATTATTATATTATTATTAATAATATAATATTAATAATATAATATTATTGATAATATAATAATTAATATAATAATATAATGATTAAGATTAATAATATAATGATATGATTTATAAATTAATATAAATTGATAATATAATAATTAACAATAATAAAATTAATAATATAATAATATAATATTATTAATAATATAATATTAATAATAACTAGAGTGAAGCTCATTTAAAAAGTTATAACCGTTGAAAATAATAAAAATAGAAGAATTACCATTGTTTATTTGGGTTGCCTAGAATACTTTTTTTAGACACACTGACCACCGCAGTTCACATCTTTTAACTTATAAAGCGTTTCAATAATTCGTGGCAAAAAGCTAAACTTATTTTTTTTTTTTGTTACGTTTATTTGATTTTTTCGTTTATTCGTTTTTACATTGTTTTGCTTTTAAAAAAGTTTTTGCTATATTTGACATTTTTACTCAATTCTTATATAATAGGAAAATAAGAAAATAGATTGTTACTTATTTGTAAAAAATATTATTTGATTAATAAATTTTGTTAATGACAGAATAAGTTAATAAAAGAATAACATAGTTTCTTTAATAAATGTATTTACCGCATTTGATGCATGTCTGAAGTTGTTTTTATTATATTGCCTAATTTCGGATGTTAATACGAGTTACTAGAGATAATGAACATAATGATTGCTCTGTTTAAAATTTAAAAACTTAAACTAAAGTTTTAAACAAGCTCCTAAAAATTTCTTTAAGAAAGATCAGTAAATTAACTATAATGCAAATAAGTAAATTATAAGTAAATAAGTAAATTAAAAATAATACACTTGTCCACAATGTTTTGCAGCATCGTTTCTTTTTTTTTTACCTAAAAAACTTGTAAAAATTTTTTTTTTTTTCTACAAATGAATAACATTTAGTTTTCTCGCTTTCCTGTGCATTGATAAAAACAGTAAAGTCTAGCAAAAACATTTGAAAAAATAAATTTAAAAATTGTCCGTGTTTCTAGCGCAATTTATAAAGTATTTCCTTAATATACTGACTAAAAAAAAGTTGCAAAAAAATTGTATATCAAAAAATATTTTTGTTTTCCATATATTCTTATCTACTTTTTTCCTCGACTTGTATCAATTATGGTAGTGGAAAATAACAAATGCTCTAAAAATAAGAAAAAACAGTAAATATTTAGGTATATTATTTTTTTGACAACAGTTTTTTTTTTCTTATTAATAAATTTTTTTTAACTTACTTTATTAAGATTTTCTATTTTGTATAGCCGGTTCTTTTCTAGGGATTGCAATCCCGGATCCCGAGATCCTGGGATCCCGGATATTTTTGGGTCCCGGAAATCCCAGGATTCTAAACACAAAATCCCAGGATTTTCGAAATTATAGCAGGATTGAACTAATTAAATTATTTTGTAAAACAAAATGTTCAAAGTTGGTAACTATACTGAATTATAACGAGTTATATAATGCTGCTTTGCAGGTTTATCCTGTTTATGCTTTATCCTTACGATAAATGGAACAAATTTTTGAATAGACCATGGAGTTTGGGATTTTATCATTGAAAAAAGTTTCACAAACACAAGTTAAGGCAGGTTTGTTTGACTATTGTATAAAAAACAATCGTTAAGTTTGTTGGCAAGACTTCTCGCGTTAAAAAGATAAATTTTAAAATTGTTGAGCGAATTTGTGGTTAAGTGATTGCTTGAGTTTATTAAGTCGTTTTGTTCATTTCAAAAAATATTTTTAGAGAATGAAAAAAATAAAAATGAACAAGTAATAAAAAAAAAATTATATCTAAAAAAATTTAATGATTACTACATAACAATTCCTTTTGGGATATTTCTAGCGATTTGTATAAATATATTTGTACAATAATTAGTTATTGCAACATTATAATGCCCTTGACAATTAATTCCGCTTGAAGGAATTCTAGTGTGAATACATACAAAATTTGACTGTGGAATGAATCGTTTTGAACGTTTTGAACTGATAACCTTTTTAATGCTTTTGTTGTTTACCGCAATAATATATTGTTTACTAATGCACCTTAAAAATATATCCTTCTAAACATGAATGAAAACAGTGAAAAGGGAACATCATTTTTTCAACACAAAAAAGATAAAGACCCAACTTCAGTGTGGTCACATTATTTGAAGTCTGCGGATAATTTGGCAGCAAAATGTAAGAAATGTGGTGTAATTTTGAAAACATTGGGTGGTTCTACAAAAGGCCTTCATACGCACTTATCAACTAAGCATAATTTGAAAGTAACTTCAGCCGACAAAAATTTACCTAGTTCGAGTCAACAGTTGAATGATGCCAGAACCGACGAGAAGCCTCCTACGAAACGAAGAATAACAAGTTACATTGCATCCGGAAAAAAAAAAACCTTAGACGAAACACTGGCTCGAATGACAGCTTTAGATGGGCTAACATTTAATGTATTTATAACATCTAAAGATTTAAGGCAATTACTGATTACCAGTGGTTTCAAAAATTTGCCTAAGTCAGCAAACTCAATTAAAAGGATAGTGGTGAGTTACAGCTTAAATATTAGACAGTTAATTTCCAAAGAAATTTATCAATATAAAGCTTTGGGAACACGATTTTCTCTGAGCTTTGATGAATAGACCTCTACAACAAATAAAAAATACATGAATATTAATGTACATATCCCAAATAAGTACTGGAATTTGGGTCTTATTCGTGTATATGGTTCTATGAATGCTGAGAAATGTATTGATGTTTTAAAAACACGTCTAAAGGAGCTAAATATTAATATTGAAACAGACATTGTTGCTATTGTTACGGATGGTCCAAATGTAATGGTTCGTGTGGGAAAAATTATTGAGGCTGAACACCAGTTGTGTTTAGTCCATGGAATTCACCTTGCAGTTTGTGATGTTCTTTATAAAAAAAGTTCTACGCCAATGTCTGACACCGAAGCACCATTGAAGGAAACTCAAGATATTGTTGATGAAACAGATGATCACGAAGATGAAGAAAATATCGACGAGGAAATGGGATTAGGCTTTCTTCCCCCAACAAATGATGGGATAGCAAATATGGATTTACTCACCAATGAACAAAATATCAATGAACTAGTGAAAAAAGCCTGTGAGGTAGTTGTTCTTTTTAAACGATCCCCGGCAAAAAATGATGCAGTCTTGCAAAAATATGTCAAAGAAGACAAAGGCAGCAAGCTTTCGCTCATTTTGGATTGCAAAACAAGATGGAACTCTCTTCTATCGACGCTAGAGCGTTTCCTTGCTATAAAAACATGTATACAGAAAGCTTTAATTGACTTAAACCACACAATTTCCTTAAACGAAAGTGATTTTGTGGTTCTTTCGGAAATAATAGAAGTACTTGCACCTGTCAAATTAGCATTAGATGTGTTATGCAGACAAGATGCTAATCTATGCACTGCAGATGCAGTACTTATATTTTTATTCCAGCAGATTGCTCAAAAACAATCTTTCTTTGCTAATAAAATGTTCCAAGCTATAAAAACAAGTATGGAAAAAAGACGATGTGAAGAAATTTCTGGTGTTTTAAAATACCTTCAAAATCCAAAATATGATGCTGTGAATGATGAAACAAATGTCTGCAAAATTTTTGGAGTTCCTCCTAAAACCCTTATTAGGAAGCAGATAAAAAAACTTATTGAGAGACTAGCTGCTTTTAAAAATGATAATTTAGAAAAATCAAGTATTGATGTTGATGAAAATATAATGGCTGTCGTTAGAAATGAAGAATCACAAGTTCGAGCCTCCCTGTCTTTAAGATAAAAGTTACAAGAACAAATTGCACAAAGCATGAAAGCCATTGAACCAGAAACACAAACTTCAAATTTAATGTCAATCATAAAGAAAGAAATGCATCTGTTTGAAAATGGTGGAAACCGTGGGCATAATTTGGAATTAGTATACCAATATTTGTTATCTATTCCACCGACGAGCATCGAACCTGAGCAGGCATTTTCTGCAGCTGGGTATTTGGGAAGTAAAATAAGGAGTAGGCTAAATGACCAAGCCTTAAATGCTCTACTATTGCTCCGGGCATATTTTCAGACAAAAAAAGAAAGTTTGTAAATAAAATATGCATTTAATATGAATTATTTTTTTGTTTTACATTTATTATTTAGCTACCATTTATTTATAAATATAAAATAAAGATTTTCTTTAATTTTTGTCTCTCAATATTAACAAACAACTTATTATGTTATTTTTTACAAAGTAGCTTGTTGCTACAGCAGCTACATCGGTACCCAAATTTAAGAAAATTTATGTTTACAAATTTATTTTGAAATTTTGATTGTTTAGTTACTTTAGTCAAATACACTTTAAATGTTCAAATGTTATTTACATATCCAATTATTTGGTGAAGGTTATTCTGTAAAGTCTGTAATCTTAAAACATAATATGGAAGGTACCGTATATATATTTCTGCATTATTTTAAGATCTTTATATACACTTGCTGTCTGTTACACAATTAAAACAATTTAAGGCGCCGTAGAAAATTAATGTAAGTCATTAAAACATAATGAAATTAAATAAAGAATTGATAACATCAAAAAGTATATTCATATATGCAGTATTAAGTTCTGTTTTTTAGCAAATAACTCACATTATATAAAAAATCCCGGGATACTGGGATCCCAGGATTTTATTTATTTCAATCCCGAAATCCCGGGATCGTAATTCATGCCCGGGATTGCAATCCCTATTCTTTTCTTCAAGTATTGCTGATTTATTCTCTAGTTTTTTATTGCTTTCACCGCAAATTCTTAAAATGCTTACTATAAGAAAGCAACCGCACAACTTTCCCGGGAAAACTTTTATTATTAAAAATACTGCCTGCTCAACTCAGGTTGAGCAGGCAGTATTTTTAATGAAGTCGACTTTTTAAGTTTAATTGTATGAAGTATTTTAGAAAAGTGTATCTATAAATCTGTTAAAGCATATATGTTTATTTATTTATTTAATAGTCAAGTTTTTTAAGTAATAATATTTTTACTTGTTCTTTAGTATGATGTAGGAGGTAATGCTGCGTTGATTTCATTGAAATTAGCTGCAATGGGTAATAACACGAAAGTAAGTTTTGATTTGTGTTGAACATGTTTTTTTATTCTGTTGTGAAATATTGTTATATTTTTACATATTTTTTATGTATTTAATTATTTTCTTTTTTAAGTCTATAAAATTATATGAAAGATTATGTGAAGAGATTAAAAAATTTTTGTAAACAAACTCAAGTAAAGAGTTCTGAAAATAAATCATTAGAGTTGTTTTTGATTAAAGCTCTTCAATGGAATCTGCTTTATTAAGTTTATAATTCTGTTTTGAAAAATACTTCTAAAACATCGACCCTCAAAATTTTTGATTTGGGAAGTTTAATTTAAATGTTTCTGTAGGCTGAGTGATGTAGGGTAATGCAGGGCAAAATGAGACAGATCACATTTATAATGATGTCAGTCCCACAATTTATTGTTTTAAAGATTTTTAAAAGTGTAGTTGTGTTCTTTAACCATTTAGTGTTAGAAAAAAAAAAAAGTTACTTTAAAATAAAAAATATGAAAAGTGTGGTAGTTATTTCATACCTCAGTTAAGTGACAGTTCTGAATTTTGAAACTTTGTTATTATAATTTTTCTTGGCCTTTTTGATCTCACTGAGTATAAATTAATTTTATATTTAAAGTTTGTATTTCAAGCCTTCCCTGAGACATGTGCGGTTTTTTATCTTGTTTGTCCAGGCATAAATGTGTGCATATATGAACACATTTAACTTATTTGAATAAGCTATTAACTTCATACACGGAATGTTTGCAGTTCGAATCCCACCACTTTCTGTTTTCTTTTATTGTTTTTCTTTTAAATACGGCTGCTCAAATATTTGCTTTGTAACCATTTATCTTTTCTTTTTTGTATATAAAAAATTCTTTTTGTTGTATGTTTTTGAATGATACACATCTCTTTACATTTAGATTTCTTATACCATTAAAGCCATTCAGTGTATTTTCTAATTAAGGTTCACACACATATATATACATATTTTTTCAATTAGGCCATGCGGTCTACACATTTTTCACATAGCCTTAATCGTTTCATATTACCTTTCTATTCCTGTACGTTTTTTATTTCCAATTTTTTAGTGCTTTGAAGTTTTGGATACCTGTTGCTTTTTAACATTCAGCTCTGTACGTTTAGTTCTACCTGCCCCCTCACTTTTAATCTACTATGTTATTGGTGAACAATTATTATTATTAATAATAATAATAATAATTAATTGTTATGCAATTATTAGTAATAATTATTAATAGTTGTTTACGTATTTCACCAATAACATAGTAAACCATAAAAGAGAGGATGGGTAGAAAAACAAAAAAAAATTGGGGTTTGAACATTGAATATTCTGTGTATGAAGTAAATGCCTTATCCAAATAAGCTTAATGCACATATACTTTTGAACAAATAAATATAATTACACAGTATACATTTAATTAATTATTAATAAATAATCTTTGCTTGAATTCTGTACTTTTATACTGGACATCTGTCCAACATCTTTTAATATAAATAGTTTTTAGCTGAAAATCTCTTAGTAAGTTACATAAAAGAAATGAATCAAGTGTTTTATGGATTGTTAAGAAATATTCTACAAATTACGTTCCCGTATTTAGAAAAGTTTAAAATAGTTCACTAATTTAATGAGAATAATGGTGTTGCGAAGAATAAGAATAATTGTGTTGCAGGAAGAGATTTTGTAAGTGGACTTTTAAAGATACATCTAGACCTTTCACTTAGAAAACCTTGTTGACTTTAAATCATGTATTTATGGGTTAAACTACAATTCAGTAAACATTTAATAAATAAAAATTGTTATGGATAAATACAAGTTTAAACCTTATCAAATTTTTAACTGTGGTGACTCTGGCCTTAGAACTGTACATAAACATATTAATATTAAAACTGAAAAATAAAAAATTGTGTATCTCATTAAAAATGGGGAAAGGGGTGTAGCAACTACAATTGTTTGTGCTATGAATGTGACTAGACAATCTGTTCCCCCAATCATAATTTAAAGGAAAATGAATAAAACTGGAGCTCATAGACCATGTTCTAAAAATGGTTGGATTTTATTTACTCTATGAAACTGAACTTTTCATAGAGTAAATTTTTAAGCTTTGTATGCTTTGCAAAAAACATTTTGCAAAGCATACATAAGCTTTTATTGAAAATAAGGTTCTTTTAATTTTAGATGGTGGCAAAACAATATTTTAATTTTAGATGGTGGCAAAACAGTATATTAATTTTAGATGGTGGCAAAACAATATTTTAATTTTAGATGGTGGCAAAACTTATACAAAGAACATTAAATTATTGGATGAAAAATTACCACCTCTATCTTCTATAATTATAAAAAAGATTTATCTAGCTAGTCATCTTAAAAACATGGTTTGTTTATTAAAAATAATCTTTCTGATTTTGTCGCACTCTGTGGGGCAGTAAGAGACAGTGTAGGTGTAAATGATCTCTAGAGACCTAACCATTGCAGTTTTGCAACTCATATTTTTTAGGGTTATAGTAGGATGTTAAATGGTTTAAAAAATAACCAATGTCTCTTTTCAAAACTTGTTACATAAACTGTATTAGATATACTAGGGCTTAAATGTCTTAATTTGCCTCTCATTACCTTAAATTTTTTGCCCCTTATTACCCTAATTATTTTGCCCCTCATCACCCTATATTTTGAAAAAAAATTTAAATTGTTTTGAAAAACTTGAGATGTTTTTCCTTGAATGCTTATGAATAAGATGTAGGACTAAAAATGCTCAATAAGAATCAAGAAATATTGAATTTTATTTGAAATAAAATCTTGAAGATCATGTATATTTTATTTCAAATATTATTAACCATATTTGGTTTAACAACCTGATTATTTATCTAAAAAGTTCTTTGATTAAATCTATGCTTATCTGTAAAAATATAATAGAAATTTGAAAAACTTGTAAATTAATGTCTTTTATGATAATTAAACAAGTTTTTTTTTCTTATTTATAACTTTGAGTCAGTGTATAAACCAGTGAGTGCAGGAAACGCCTTAGTCAATTTTATTAGTCATAAATTTCAAAATGTCATAACACACATTAAATGTGTGTTATGGCAAAGGGAAATTTTTTTTTGCAAATTTGGAGGAGTTGAAAAGTTTTTTCTCTTCTTAAAAATATAAAATTTTTGACTGAAGTAGTTTTTGCACTAACTGATTAACATGATACTTGGTTCATTAAAATTTTTGTACTTCAACATAATTCTTAGGTTTTACTAGGAGGTCCTGTTGGTCCAAAACTAGAAAGTTTGTTAGGTAATAGAATAATTATCCCTAGTTCTATGAAGCAAGACCATGATGAATATCATTTAATTATGGAGTACAAAAAGGGCGATATTTGGGGAGATCACACATCGTTGTGTGCAAATCGATTTATAATTACTCATGACAAAGCAAACAGTGAAATGCAAGCCATGGATAAGTTTTTTGGTAATTGTGAGATAACTTTTATTTTATGGTAGATATCTACAGATATATATATTTTTTTGAGTTTACATTTAGCATCTTTTTCATGTTTAATTTTTTCTGTTTTTTATAGAGTCATTAATCAGTTTTAAACCTGATCTTATAATTGTGTCAGGGCTTCATTTGTTAGAATCACAACCTCCGAATGTGATTGAAAAAAAATTAAATGCGTTTCGCACTCATCTACAAAATGTTCCTTCGACAACTCCTATACATTTAGAATTAGCTAGCATGACCTCAGTGCAGCTTACAAAAGATATAGCTAATCAAATATTTCCTGTTGTTGATTCGATTGGTTTAAACGAACAAGAGTTAGCGTTTTTGTCAACTTCTTTAAATGGTCCTGGTTCTCCAAACGAGCTAGCACAATGGCCGCCAGAAATAGGTTAAACCAATGTAGTACGAATGCCATAGTTTTTTTTAAAACGTTTCATTTTTATTATTTATATAATTGGCTTCATTAACATTTTAATTTTACTGAATTTGATAAAGTTTATCAGATTCAATAAATAGTTTTCTTTGTTTAGGGTTGATGGCTGATATCATTGATTGGTTGTTCCAATTTTATGGAAGAAACACGCGCTACGGTTCGGACAGTTCACGATTAACAAGAATTCATTTTCATTGCTTAACATATCATTTAATGGCTGTTTTTCCGGAGTACTGGAACAATAGTTTGGCAGCGACTGTTGCTGGATCTCGAACTGCGTCTACTCAAGCTTGCGATAAAGAAAAACTAATTTCTTTTGACGTTGAATTGCGTATTCCTAAAGTATTTGCTCGATCAGTTCATTTTTGGGAGCTAAGGAGATATCTTGTTAAACAAGAGGAAGGAAACCCTGTGACGTCTTGGTCACATAACGGAGTAGACTATAATTTTTGCGCTGTTCTTGTTTGTAAAGAGGCTAAGAAAACTGTTGGTTTAGGAGACAGTATTTCTGCTGTTGGTTTGCAATACTCTGATTTCATTTATAACTAGTATCAAATCTCTTAAAATAGAATATGCAAATAAAAAACAATTAGGTGAACTTTTTTTTTGTATTGTTTTATTTATTTTATAAATTTATTCTACGTAGAGCATGTTGCTGTTTTTATATTATTTAAAATAAGCAACATTTTTAATGTTATTTATACCTCAAAATATTTATAATTTTGATGATTTTTTGTAAAAAAATTCCAACTAACTTTATTGAAATAATAGTGCGATGGTTTCCTTAAGATGAAATTGTATTCTAAAGTTATCAGTTAATCTACCGTGTAACAATGATTTGCAAGCTTTGAAATCCGTTTTAACAAAATAATTAAAAATTAAACATTGTTTGCTTATTTATTTATTTTTTTCTAATTCCAAAAAATTTTTATAATTTAAATAATATTAATTTAAAAAATATAATCTCTTTCAATAACTTATATTTTACCTGTTGGAAATTGGGCTAGAGACTAACTACAGTTTATCTTGCAACTAGATTTCGGTAAGCTATTTTTTTGTTTGAATTAATTGCTTCTCTTATTTAAAACTATTTTTATTCCTAATTCTTTACGGTTACAAATATATTTCAAAGATATTGATAATACAAGAGTAGTTTAAACATATAGTAATATGTTTAATACAAGGATAGTTAAAACATAAGGGAAAGGCGCTTATGATGGCATAGCGCCTAAGATAGCATACCGGTCATATTTCCATAAAAATTGGTTTTAGTGAAAAAGTGATTAGATCTACATGACTATACTGACTTTACATTAGTTTTAGTGAAAATACGCCCCTTGTGCACAAATATTGTTTTTATAATCAGCAAAAATTGATTTTGGGATGTGCTGTTGTAGTTTTATTCCCTTCGTATATTTAAGATTGTGATTTTATTATTGACTGTGCAGAAAGGGGATTTTTATGAATTTTATATCCAAGTTTTGTGCATTTAGTGGAATACTTTAATTTTATTTTTTAAATAAGGCAGACACAGCTTGTTTTAATGAAATTGATGACTTCTTTCTATGATGGCATACTGAAGAGTTAGATGTTTTTCAATATTGGCGAGTTTCGGAAACTTTCTTTACAATGCTGCTGTGTAGCATGAAATCGTAAATTAGGATGGGTCCTAGTAATTTCTGGCTTTTCTGGGAGTAGACTCTAAGATTAAAGGAAATCATCAAGTTACCTTAATCCTAACCAGCCTATGCCATCATAAAAGCAGTGATTGCCTTTGATGGCATACTTCTACCTTTTTTTAAAATAGGAATAACTTATAAAAAAAACAAAATGATAAAAAATCTGAAGTTTATTATTGTTCTACTTGTAACAAAGAATCCATATCAAAACTTTAATAATTGACGCTTCAGAGTTAAGTATGCCATCATAGGCGCCTTTCCCCTATTTATATTGCGAGGGTAGTTTAAACATATTACTATTTCAAAGATAGTTTGAACATATTACTATTACTAGGTTAGTTTAAACATATTACTTTTTAAGACTTAGAGAAATATTTTTTTAAAGTATATCTTTAATTCTTTGGCGCTAAAAATTGTAAAAAAAAAAAGAACTTTTTTGGTATCAATTTTATTTTGCGGCAAAATAAGTTTGTATTAACATATTTTAGAAAAATTTTTATTGGAAATATGATCATAACTTCAGAATAACTGAAAAATTTATAAATAAGTTTGAAAATTTTCATATTTTTCATTCTTTTAAATGTTAGATATAAAAAACACTGCCCAGAAAACATAAATTAGAATAAATTTTTATTTGAGTTTTTTTTTATTAAGTAAAAAACACGGGCCCAAAATATCAAAATATATATATACAAATATACATACCTTTTTTTTTTTTTTTAGGTTATTTAGGTGGAAGTTCACGCCTCCTTCCTTGCCAAAATCGCTTATTGGGCTAGAGCAGGCGTCGAACCTCAGACCTCTGGGTTCTGAGTCAGAACTCTAAGCACTGCGCCACGGCTACTCTTAAATATCATAGATAACATAAAATAACAACTTACTTTTTTTTTTCAGAACCTCAGATATTATATAAATGAACAATGTTATATAAATGCATCGTTTTATTTTGGTTAAACTTACTTAATAACGTACCCATATTGTCAAAATACATTGCAAAATGTTTGAGCAACGTTGGGCGCATGAAGTTTCGCGGCGACGCCATATCAAAATTTAGATAAATAATTATAATGTATACCGTATAAAATTATGTATATCAAGCGTAATGTATGTTAAGCGGCCGCGATGTAGTGATTAGAGTTCCGGCCCAGAACCAAGACACCTGTGGTTTGATGCCGACTCTAGTCCAATAATTGGAAGCTAGAAGAGGGCTCTGAACCACTATTTAAACTGTCTAAAAACAATACATCTTGTTAATAAATGATTATTTTTCTCTGACATTGGCAGTTTTTACATTCTCCCCTATAATGAAATACTTGAATGCCGAGATAGATCTAAACTTAGTTCGTTTCATTTATTAATATTTATGTATAAATATGTAAATAACTTGCAATCAAAAGTATTTTCTAACACATTTACAATAAATTTTTTTTTCAATAGTCTGTAAATATCAATCACACCTATCATTTAGGTAGAGCAAAATTACAGGTGTCGAATTTTTCAATTATAAACCGAAGCCCATTATTTTAAAAAATACCAGTATAAATATTTTAGAAAAGTTTTTTCTCTTTTAAAGTCAAATGAAATTGCATCTTCGTAATTCCTGGCATTTTATAACTTATTTAAGTTTATATACTCCGATATCTTGAAATAAATATTTTAAATATATTTCGATTACGTGTCTTAAATATTTTATGCTTCATCCCACCGGACACAAGACGTGTTTAAGATATCTAAATCATGTATTAAAACTAATTAACAACGTATTCTAGAAGACTAAAACACGTCTTGTGCCCACTAGGATCTTTAATTGTAAAGAAAAATTGTCACCAAATGTATTATAAAATCTTTATTGTTTGAAACCTAAAAACAAATGTAATTTTCGCATCAATAACAATCTTATTGATAGTAGCGCAACAACCAAATGGACAGGGTGAACAAATGCCCGGGGCCCCAAGCAACGAAAGAGCCCCTAGATATTTTAAAAGAAAAATTTTACTTGACCTGACAAAAAACTTACAGAGGAGTTTTAATAAATAAACAAAACCAAAGATTGAAAAATTGATCTTTTTGTTTTGAAATTAAATACTTGTTTTTAAATCAAAACTGTTCGAATTTTAAATTAAACTTTTATTTAAAATTCGAATAGTTTGTAAAGTAAGTTAGTGTATAAAATAAGTTAGTGGATAAAAACATTAAACTTTAAACTTTTAATAAGTTTATTTACAATTATGTGTAAAGCATAATTGCAAATAAACAAATTGCTCTTTGATTCTTAGATATTGTTTTTAATTTATTGGAAAAAATGTTTTGATAGTGAATTTTCATTTAGTAAATAGTTTAATTTATTCATTTAGGCAGAATAATGCCTTGTGGTCAATTTAATATATAAAATTTAAATTGCATACGCCGTAAAAACAAAAACAAACGACATGACCAATTTCTTTCACAAACTCTAGATTTACCCGTTCAATTAGGCCAATTAAATACAAATTAAATAAAAATTAATACGTTCAATTAGTTCAATTAGATACAAATGCTACATACTTTAAAAGACCAATAGTTTATGTAAACAAACTAGCAGACTTATTTTATTTTTTAGCATTTGGGATTTTTCTACATTGATTCTAAAAACCTTTAAAATTATTAAAATGAGAAAAAGTTGACTTACACCATGCTGATTCTCACTAGCTCCTTTTTTAGCACAAAACTTCTATTTTCAAAAAAGAGAAAAGATGATTCATGACCATTATATTCCATTATTTTATATGGTCGTCCTATTATTAGGGAATCGAGAGTATAATGGTCCTCTAATCATCTTTTCTCTATTTTAGTTTTATGCTAAAAAAAAAATTGTCAAGTAGTTTGAAAATGGATCATACTCAGAGAGACGGTTTCCTATAATTGGATCTAAGTTGGCTAATAATTTATTTTTTATTTGTTTTTTGTTTTCCTGTTGTTTGTTTTTTTATGTAAAAATAAACAAACTATTATTACTTAAATGGCTACTAATTAGCTTACCCACATATTAAAGATGTCTTTCATGTTCACTGTTTGAAATGAATATTATAAACGATAATGTCTTTCATGCACACTGTTTAGAAAAAATATTACAAATGATAAAGTATCATAATTGACTAGATAACTGACTAGATTATAAAACTTTATACAACACAAATGCATCATGTGCTTGTACAACACAGACATAACGTTTGTATGATGGAAACGTTATCGGCATATTTAATACTAAATGGTTCCTAACATTTGACAAATCTGTATTTGCTCTTCCTCAAATATTTCATTCAGGAATGTTATAATAGTTATGCTGGTTTGTAAAGTCTTATTTTTAAAGCTGACTTTTTTAAAATATTTTAAAGCTGACTAAACCAGCTTTCATGTCTTAAAGGATCAGGGCCGACAACGTCGATGAGACCGGGGGGCACGTGTTCCCCCACTTTTTTGTAAAGGACCTTTTTTTTTTAAGAGAAAATTTTAGATATTGAGGACTTTTTTTATAAATAGAAGATTGTGCCCCTCCACTTCGAAACCCGTGTCGTCGGCCATGAATACATCGTAGCAAATGAAAAGTCTCGCGCTTTTAGCTCAGCAGCGCCTTAGCTTTCAGTTCGTACTTGTTAATTCACCATCATCCAATTCACCACCAAGTATAGTTAATTCACCATCACCATCATTCAATCACAATCACCACCATCCAGTTCACCAAGTATTTAAATTATTTAGTTTAATATTTTTCTATTAAAAAAAAATTTGCTGAATACCTATAATTTTAACCAAGGTAAAAAATATTTATATTGTGTGTAAAATAGTTTTTAAAAATGTTGTAGAAAATATAGGGTTCAGTGGGGAGGAACTTCCGAAATTTATAAGTCTGGTTACAAAACAGTCGTGGTTTTGTGTTTCTGATGTTAAAACATCAAACAGTGGTTGATAAAATTACTTTTTAAATAC